CCACACTCCTCTCCTGTACATACTGCCCCTTGTCATATCCCCCACACTCCTCTCCTGTACATACTGCCCCCCGTCTTCCCCCCCCCCCCCCCCCCCTGCCCCCATTTCAGATGCGGCCAAACGAAAAGTCAGATCGTTGAGCAAAATCTGCGGGGACGGCCAATCTCCCCAATGGGACCATTCAAAGAGCAACAACAAGGGGCCAGACTGGAGCAAAACAGAGCGCACCGGACCGTGAGGATAAAACATTATAAAATAAACTGGACTTGATCAGAATGTCACCAACAGAAGGAAAGATATCATGCGGTAGTATCAAATTCTGACACTTAGGGGTCTATTTATAAACAATTTGCAGAGCCATTCGCCCTGCGAGTCTCTGTGAACGTTCGTCCCGTGCACACAGAGGCAAAAATAAAGGTTCTAAGGTAATGTAATACCTCATTATGCCCAACAGATGGAGCTGAGGAGCACAGGAGAGAAATACTTCCCCCCTGGCTTTGGAGAGATTTCCTCTCACTTCCTGTTGTATGTACAGAGACTGGAAATTAACGGAAATCTCTCAAATGGGAAAAAGAAAACCTTGACAGAGAACCATTCCCTACTCTACTACTAATACGCACAAATGTTTTTGTCTTTAGATAAGCTTACATTAAATATTTCCTGGGACACTTTGTTTCTCAGGACACTTTATTCCCCGGGACACTTTACACTTTAATCCCCGGGACACTTTATTCCTCGGATGAATGTCCCTAGCATAATTGCTGCCTTGGAAGGTAAGTGGTGGTGGAGATCATGGTTCCTTGGGGCGGGGGGGTACATTCCAATGGTGCTCTGGCAGGGGTCCTGGTGGGGCACCCAGGGCCGGATTTACTCTCTCTGCTGCCCCTGTGCCAGGTTCCTCAATGTGCCCCCCTCGACATTGCTGAGATCACTTGTACAAGACAAGCGGCGGCTTCCCCGCTGTACATTTAGCTCTGCTTGCCCAAAGCCGGTCTAAATGTAGAAAACAACTACCCGCCCGGCCCCCGGAACTGCATGTCCCGGGTGTCGAGAGATTAGAATTCCACACCCCTGCTGCCCCTCTACTCCCTGCTGCCCCAAGGCCGGGCCTCGGTTGGCCTTGTGGGAAATCTGGCCCTGAGGGAACCCAGTTCTGGCAGGCGGTGTCCCACCCAACTCACTGACATCCATGGCTGCCAGGAGCTGGGCAGGATGCAGGCCTGAGTGTAACAGGTAGCTAAGCCCTAGGAAGGGAGACATTTATGACCGTTCTACGTCTCAGCTCTTTGCAATCTGGGATGCTCTGGCTGCCCCCTCGCCACGTGACCCAAAGAGATGCCTCATTATAGGGATAGCCCTGCTTGTAAGCCTTCTTCATCACAACACGGCCACCAATAAAGAACAGACGGCTGCCCATGTGGCACATAAAGGTTAAATATCTTGTGGCCTGCGCAGCGATGGAGACTTTTTCATATACTGTGTATTCACGAATGTCATTGGCCAATCTTTAACATTGCGTGTTATATTGTTACAGGCTTGTGGGGCCCTTTAAGGTGGATACAGATGGGACTTGAGCACCCTGGAACGGTACACTTCAGCCCCACGTGGATCACGCCGCCTCTCACTCCATGAAGATGAAAAGAATCCGACACAATGTATTTTGCAAATTAATGATCTACTTTCTAAAAATGTTGCACCCCGAAAATGCACTGCACCCTAAACCTGTCACCTTCCTTATTTTCAGAGGAGAGAAGAATGTTCTTAAGGTGGTATTATTATTTAAAGTGACATTAAACCCTCAGAAAACCTTGACAGAGGTTCTAACCATTCCCTACTCTTCTACTAATACGCACAAATGTTTTTTGTCTTTAGATAAGCTTACATCAAATATTTCCTGGGACACTTTGTTTCTCAGGACACTTTATTCCCCGGGACACTTTACACTTTAATCCCCGGGACACTTTATTTCCCGGGACACTTTATTCCTCCGTCTCTGTGTACCCTGGCAAAAAAATGAATTGCATTTTGTGGTAGAAGCTTCCTGTGAGCTGCAGCCGTGCCTCCGACGAGTGATGCAAGTCCGTTCACAGCCGCTCAGGGAGCGGGGGAGGGGTGTGCGCATTGTGTGCAGAGGGCAGTTCACTTTCCACAACCCAGAGATACAGGAAGTGGCCTCGTTTGTCGCTGCGGCCCCAAAAAGTTTTTTAAAATCACAATAATTAACAAAAACAGTCACACAGGAAAATATCTTTTCACTTTGCATTTTTATTGCAGAATGTTTGTTTTATACCCTCCCGCGGGGCGCTAATATATACCGGGGCATTGGCCCAGAATCGCTCTTTTTGTGAACCTGGCAGGCGTTGAGAACATTTTTTGATGTACGTGTACGGCGCCTAATCCATTATCGGCGTTTTATCCGGCTCGGCCCTCAGTGACGTCTTCCAGAAAAGATTTATTTTTGTTTCATTGGGTATATTACAAAATGAATAGGAAATATTCTCCTCACACTGACTATACAAAGTAGTATCACCAACAAACTATAAAAATATAAATTTATTTTTGACTGTACAGGTAAAAATACGGGCAGAGGGGGGTGCGGAGGGCGGGGGCTCAGACGGTGATCTGCGGGGTGTCCCGGTAGAACGCCCTCTGGTGGGTGGTGCAGGGATCCGGGAGGTGACGTTGGATGGAGTCCATTGGAGAGTCGGCGGCCAGGTGCAAACCGGCCACGTTGTAGTTTTTGGCAGAGGATTCCAGCAGCTGCCTTAAGCCGAGCTGTTCAACCTGCGCAGGCAAAAAGGAGATGCTGAGATTAGATATAAAAAGCACAGCAGGGTGAGGGAGCAATGAAGTTACTGAGTGTAATCAATTCAAAGTATACGTATCACCAAAGATTAGAACCCCTGTGAACTTTTTTGTTGCCTGCGTCCCATTTGAGACATTTTCGGAATCATACATTCAGAAAATATACTAAAAACATTCTTTTTTGCCTCCATTTCCACCGAATGAATGTTCACAGGGACTGGCACGGTGAATTGTTTATAAAAGGTGAATGTGGAAAAGGTTTCCGACCAATGATAGAATTATATGGCCAGTAACTATGTAACTCTATAACTATTGTGGGGGTACAGCTCAAATGGGGATCACCTTCCCTGGGAAAAAGGTAGTCCAGGCAGCAAAAGGGCTTTTTCAATCTGGCCAGCAGTCAGTTTTTATTAAAAAGGTTCCAATAAAACAGAAAATAAATCCTTTCCATCCAGACTCTGACTAAACAGGTTTCCTCTCTACCAAGGGGTGAGCTTATCTCAGCCACCTCACAAAACAAAAATACTTTCAGCAACCTTTTACTCACACACATCCAACTTGTAGCTCTCTCTCTCTCTCTCTCCTTCTCTCTCTACGTCTCTCCGTCTCTCTCTCTCTCCGTTTCTCCCTCTCTCTCTCTCCGTCTCTCCGTCTCTCTCTCTCTCCGTCTCTCCCTCTCTGTCTCTCTCTCTCCTTCTGTCTCTCTCTCTCCTTCTGTCTCTCCTCTCCCTCTCCTTCTCTCCCTCTACATCTCTCTCTCTCCGTCTCTCTCTCTCCTTCTGTCTCTACAGGTCTGGGTTCCGCTAGTCCTGTACATAGGATAGAAAGCGAGGGGAAATATATCGCCACTCGATGACTTCCCCTTTCCTTATGTCACACTATGTAACTGTGTCCTCGTTATATTTTTATAATTTTAACCTCAACAGAGAACCAGACACACCAATGATACATCATATATGAAAGTTGTGTTTTTTTTGTCTTTATAGAAATCAAGAATCGCTAACAAAGAAAGAAAAGATGTAATATAACAATATGCGGGCCATATTGATGGAGCAAGAAAATTAAACCAACATTAGATAAGTCTCTGCTTTGTATCTACAAGTGTCCTAGTAATAGAAAGCACACCATGCCCTCATTTCCAGGGACATTGGGTCTACACTAGGGGGTGAGCACAATGGGGAGTTTTTGGTTCTAAAAAAAAAATTGAAAAATTGGAAACATTTTGGCAAAATGTATCATTTAGCATAAAGCACCGCGGTAACATAGAGCTGGTGCTCGTCTACCATAACACTCATCTCTGATTGCCCTGTGAGCCCGGAGAAGGGGGCAGGCTATGATGGCAGCTTCAACTATATCCAGCTGGGATTTGTCTTAATTTACCTGGACAATGATGAGCTTCATATGCAGCGGCGTGGCGTCAGGAAACTCCTCCCCAAAGCACAGCGTCACTTTGCTGTCTGGAAGTCTCAGCTGATTGGAGTAGCAATGCTGGAACTCTGCAGGGGCAAAAAAAAAAGACACATGAACAAAAGCTGAGGGCTATAAAGAAGAGGCGACCCTTCCCTTATAAGAAAGTCCCCAAAACACTGAAGCCAATTACCAATATGGACATTCTGCATCAGGCAAATATATGTATATGTATATGTACACAGTATGCATATATTGATCTATACTCTTGTCCTATCACTCCTGACCTTGGTGACCAGCCAACAATGTCACAACTACGACAAAATCTACAAAAAACACAGAATGACTTTGTATCCTTTAATCTCAATCTGGTAGCCAAGAAACCATTCTGTGAGTCAGAAATTCAGGAATCAAATACAATGTTGCAGAGTCGGGCTGTTTATGTATAAATGCGTTCCGTGGCTCACCTCTTATGTACTGATTGGTGTCGAAGATCTTGGTGATCTCATCCCGCTCCAGCTTGTGCGCGCGATCTTTGTACGGCATGCAGTTCCCGCTCCAGAACACCCGGCCCTGGCACAGCCTCTTGATGAAGATTCCCTGCCGGTTGCTGAGTAGGAGGACCCCCCTCTCCAGGTGGCCGAACAGCTTCTTGGTGATCTGCCGCTGCCGCTCGCTCATGATGTATTCGGCCGGCGGGAATACGATATTCTCGAAACTTTCCAACTGGTAATACTTTTCACTGGCGGTGGACGGGCGCAAGGAGAGGCGGCACCCTTCTACCCGCGTCGTCGTCACCTGGCTGGCGGCCTTCCCTCCATAGTAGAACTGGATGATCATCTGTGAAAATCCTGCGGAGGCAGAAGATGCTTTTTATATATCATTGGCTGATGTACACCGTGAACCTGACGCCAGTCGACTTTTCTATTAGCGGAAGGCGATAACATTTTTATTGGAATCTGATTTCTAATAAATGGATCTGAAATTGCAGCATCACAAATAATTCCCATGTAATATCAGGTGAAACACCAAACAGAAAAATTCCAATGCATTTCAGGGAACCAAAATACACTTCCTTCATCAGGGCATAAGCATAGAAAATTGTATACAGCCTGGATAGAGGATACAATATACACTGAGTGGCCGGATTATTATATACCCTGAGTGGCCGGGTTATTATATACACTGAGTGGCCGGATTATTATATACACTGAGTGGCCGGATTATTATATACACCGAGTGGCCGGATTATTATATACACCGAGTGGACGGATTATTATATACACCGAGTGGCCGGATTATTATATACACCGAGTGGCCGGATTATTATATACACCGAGTGGCCGGATTATTATATACAC